CTTGTTCCTTCGATGCTTCATACAATTGACCTGAGGAAAGAAACCTTAACACTTGAACGATAGTGGAACAACATACTTTTGGATAATTGGTTCTAAAGTTTAGTGAACTCTTCATCCCAAGCACGTGAGGAGTTTTGTTAAATTTTATACAAGACTCAACTGTGGTGTTGAGGCGTTGTTGGAAAAGTGGAGGTGTGTGTGTGTGTGTGTGTGTGTGTGTGTGTGTGTGTGTGTGTGTGTGTGTGTGTGTGTGTGTGTGTGTGTGTGTGTGTGTGTGTGTGTGTGTGTGTGTGGGATGTATGGCTCGAGTATAGCTAAGAGGCAGGAGGGGAAAAAACTGGAGGTTATTTTAGAATACAATATATAATGGAAGGATAAACATGAACATTAGTCTGAGGAAGTGCTCACGGTTCACTGCATCCTTATAACACTGGTATATAGTCGGCAGCTTATAACAATTTATGGAAATATTTGCTACATGTACAGTAGGAAATTTGCTCGCCACCTCAGGCATTGTTCTTCATATCTAAGACTCATGCCAAATTTGAAGCTGATATGTCGAGGTTTAGTCTGCCGCATTTTCTACTGAAATTTTAAATTTACCTCAGTACTAGTAAACAGCTGCTGTGGGTATGTTCTGTTCGTTTATCAACTTTTTTCATATTGAAAGAGTTGTTTGATATCTGTAGCTGTTATTGTCCCCTTGCCTCCTGTCAGGATGTGAGGTGCATAGTTAAGGAGTGTGACGGATATCACCTGGCATGTAATTGTGTTATAAAAGTTCCCAAACGTGAGGTGCAGTTTCTCCTTGACCAGCGAAGTGATAGGAAGATGAAGATTGCAGGGGTTGACATGAAAGTGACGAAGATGTGGGACAGAGTGACGGCAAGAGAGAAGCATGATGCGGACAGAGTTAGGAGACAGCTTGAGCAAAAACATAGATATCTGGTAGCTGGAGATATTCCTTATGTTGAGGATAATTCAGATGATTCAAGAGATATTCCTCTCGTCAATACTGATGCTGATTTTGTCCCTGATCCAAGGGGTCTGACAGACACCAGTTCACAGAACCGGACAAGACTCCCTACACTGGCTGCCGCTTGTGACCGATACTTGATTAGTGATTATGCTGGAGCTGCCATTGCTACTGCCACCTTAACTGACTATGGCATTATCACAAAGGATGACAAGAGTCAGGTTATTGGACCACATAAGCTGCGGGATGCGAGACAAAAATACCGATTTAAGAGGCAAGAAATTGAGATGGCTAGTTTAGATAATTTGACGTCACTCTATTTTGATGGTAAGAAGACCGCCACTCGTGTGATGATAAAGAATGAGAAGACCGAGAAATGGAGTTCGAGGATGATGGTGAAAGATCATTATGTCATCATGGTTGAGCCTGGCAATGAATATCTCACACATGTGACTCCCAAGACTGGACACGGAAAGCAGATTGCCAAAACTATTCACGAGTTTCTGGTGGAGAAAAATCTAACCCAGCAGCCCATTGTGTGTGTTGGTTGTAATGGAACCAATGTAAATGTAGGATCAGAAAATGGAGTCATTCATCATCCTGAAATGTTACTTGGTCACCCGCTCCATTATTTCATATGTCAGCTTCACGGAAATGAGCTGCCTTTCCGCGCAGTTTTTTATCACTATGATGGTAAACCAAGTGGTCCTGAGCATTGGCGTGGTTCCATCGGAAAGCAGATCAAGGAGTCTTTGTCTGAGCTTCCAGTTGTCGCCTTCCAGCCAGTCAGTTTCCCTGATTTCCCTGTGTTTAATGATGAAGAAGTGGAGAAAGATCTGTCCTGGGATCAGAAATACCTTGCAGATTTGTAAAGGAGTTATCACAGGTGTTGTTGAAGATGACTTTGGCTGCTATTGAGCTTTGCGGGTCCTCCCTAAAGTCAAGGCAGGGAACACCCTTTGTGGAGTAGAATCCTCAGGCTGTAAAAGTGTAGCAACATCAAGACCCATCCATGAGCTGCTGAAAAGAATTGCTATTACACACAAAGTTCAGTGCTCCAATGTGGTTTACATCAAGATACACCCTTACGTAACACTACTGGGCTCAAGGAACGGCTCCAGTCCCTTTGCTAGTATATGTAGAAACACCTGAATAGTGAGGGAGGAGACGATAGTGAAGAAGGCTGTCCAGAGAAAATGCATATTTCTGCCCACACAGATCAACTTCTTGGTATGTGTGCAGATGAGGACATGACTGTTAGAGAAAAGCGTTCCAATGATGAGAAAAATTAGAGGAGAATCAGCAAAGGAAGAATGCACTGCAGATCTGGAAGAGGAGGAGAAGTTCTGATGCTGCTGTTGATTTATAAATTTGTTAAACTATACTGATGAGGAGGGTAAAGATGGAGATGGGAATGAGGATGTGCCTCCCAGTCAACATGAGAAAGGTAGTGACCTGAAACTAAAGTGGCAGCAAAAACTATCATTCCATGATGATTAACTGGAGGAATGAACTCAAGACTGAAAGCCTCTCCTACATTGCTTCTGTCAAATCTACAGGTTAATGACATTCTTGAGACACCATTAGTGTGCCTGCGGCCAAACAGCACTCAGGCGGTCGAGAGAGGCATAAAAGTGATGACTGAAGCTTGCAATGGAAGTGAGACGGATACGAATCGAGATGGATATATTAGGCAAAAGATTATTGCTCCAGGAAAATACAAGGTTCCACACAAAAGAATTTCCAATATGAACTTGTAATGATTTCTATACGGTGTACCTGTAAAATAACATGAATTAAATCGATGTCACCCATGTAAAATTTATCATTATTCTGGAAACATTAAATGACACCTAAATTTTGGTATACACCAAAGTTGACAAAAGTCGTTTCGCGATGCGGCAGAGGGTAAGATGCATGAAATGGCATGAAATTTTGACAGTGTTTGTCAGCCATACAAACGATGCCTGAAAGTGCAGCCTGCAACTCAAATAAAGTGTTTCCTGCCCCTAATGTACAGCGTCATGTTTCAGTCTGTTTACCTTCCTTGTACCCAGACAGGCGAGCTAGAAGGACTTGTAGCTACGATAATTTAAACTGATCATCACAGACTACTTTATCTCCCTCACACTCAGTCCTTTCGTCATCCCAGAACTGATTCAGCCAATCACAGAGACTAATTTGAATATTACGTCACAGTCTCTGTCTTGAGGAAGGAGATAAGATGTTTTAATAGACAAGGGCAACTTGAGTCCGAAGTTGCCAATTAATATGGTCATACTAAATCATCTTATGGAAAAGTTTGTAGCAAGTATCAGCCATAACATAACACAGAGAACATGAAGTAGGTATACATAAAATACATGTAATAGTTAAAAAATATTATTGAATAGCATTGTACAATAAGCCGCTATTCCGAAATTATGAAGTTAAGAAATATATTAACAACCTTTATAATGAGATGATCTGAGAGTTTTATTCTATATGAAATAATTATAAAGTTCGCCCACCTAAGTGATAACGTTATATAGAGCAAAAGTTATAAAGTCAATATCTAAGAAGTTGTATACTATCATATACAACGACTGTAGGTACAGTGTATATATATATATATATATATATATATATATATATATATATATATATATATATATATATATATATATATATATATATATATATATATATATATATATATATATATATATATATATATATATATATATAATCAGTAATACTGTTTATTAAAGTAATCATTAGAGATGACGGAGAAAGAAGCTACTTATGAAGCTGGATAATAAAATATATATAATATATTTATGATTACATATCATTCTGACTCTTCAGTGTCATAAAGAATAACACGAGTAATGTTTGCAACAAGTCACTGTAGGAAGCAACATGTTTATAAATTTACGTTTGGATGTGAATGTGTTTATAATTATGATGAACTTTTGAGTGAGTGTGTGTGTGTGTGTGTGTGTTTGTTTGCTTGTTTTACGTAAGTATCAAAACTCAAACATTTTGTTATAAAGTGAAACAATTACGGTCAATAATTCCTTTCAAATGAACATCGAATAATAAATTCTCACACTGAGTCAGAACACATCCCCACTAACGAGAGTTTACTGATTAAATAAAACTGACTACAGGTGGAGAATCATCCGCGCCCACCGAGTGTCCTGAGGTGTTACAGAAACTCGCTGTTTTTTCACACTGTACAGAACTAGACTCAGTAATAGATTATCCTCAACACCTTAAAGAGGAAGAGTCAGAAAAAACACTACGAGCTAAATAATGTAATATCTGGAGTAAATTTAAATTCTACAGACTTTGAAATGGTGTATACATGTACACTCGCAACAAAAAGTATCCGTGCATACTGTAGTGTGAACAATTTGAGACCAGTGACGATAGGTTTTGGGAAAGGCGAGTTTTTCCAGCCGTATGTTGGCAGCCCTGTAATCCTGCTGAGCTGCATCACAAGCAGATACTATGGCCTGGTCAAATGAAACAAACCGTTATAAATAAGGTCGGGAAGTGATAAACAGACAGTATGAAATATGAAGAGCTCTCTGTTAACAAAATTATTTGTGATAGTGTGAATATTGCCGCATTAATTTATGCTACCAAATAAGCCCCTCAATCTGGTCGTCCTGAGGGGTGGTGCAGCGTGGTCGGCCGCTCCGAGACCTGTCGTCTGTAGCACCAGTTTCGAGGTATCGCCGAATCCATCGTGCAGCGGTGTTCCTGTGGACACCAACCCGCCGGCTAATATCTGTGACGCCGAACCCTTCGTTATGAAGGGCATTAATAGCTCCTCGTGTTCCCTCTGAGGTTTCCATGTCGTCTGGCATGTGTAGATCTCTACTGCTTCATATTGCCTCTGTTTTATACCCACGTTCACCGAGACCGAACCCTCGCTCATCATTCAGTCGACACAAAGCAGCAATCCGAAAAGAGGAAACAAACACACTGATTGTCAGCCATATGGCAACACCTAGTGGAGGGGGGGGGGGTTATGAGGATACACTTACCAACCTTCCCGACATATCACAGTATATACGTATCGTTTCGGAACTCGTCGATCTCACCCTGCACCGATACTTTTTGGTGCGAGTGTACACATAAGTAGAAAGATTAAGAAAAAATTCCCACCAAGGTTAAGTGCACCAGAGTTTCGTAAAACAGGATTGACTCATGTTACATATGACGTGGATGAGGTGTCGACATTTTCATGAGTGACAATTTAAAGGAGGAAAACTAACAATTAACTTTCACGTTACTGGGTAGCTTCAATACTGATGTACACAAAATTTTGTCTGCAATGGATATTCGGTACACTGATAAACGTCGCTCCACGGCAGTAACTAGCTACTCACACGTCAATGCTCTCTTCTTCTGGTGATTCGTCAAACAGGATGGAGGAGCACTGAGATGAGAGCCTCAGTGTAGTGTACAAGGCTTGCTGAATAAAGGAAGAGATCCTCACTGACTGGGTGGATTTTTCAACCACGTAGTCAGTAATCCCTTGATAGACCATCCAGCTGATAGGCACTTCCTCCCTCAAGCCTGTCTGATGACCTTGGCACCGTTGACGTCAGAAGGCGATTCCAAGATGTCTGTTGGTGCACTCTATGGGTAATCCAGAGATGCCTCGGCGATATACGTAGCGCGTTGGTTGTCGAAGGATTCTTTGGGGAGGAAGCTTCTCTTTCTCTACCTCGTCGCAGCCGATGGAGAACAGAGACCATGCCCGACGGAACTGCGATCGTCGGTTCTGGGCGTCGTCAAAGGCCGTATTGCTCTTAACTAACGAGATGGAGGACGGGTTGGCCGAGGACAAGCTGGAGCTCATGGAGGATGGCGTTCGTGTGTGGGGCCCACTTTTCTGGTTGGGTACTGGGACCAGACTTTGTAAGTTTTGTCCAGATGAAATAGTCCGATGTGTGGCCATATTACCGACGGTTCTGTCACTATGTCCCTGACTTGTCGCTGTGAAGGTCATAGAGTTACGACGCCAGTTTTTCAGCCGCTCACCACTGACGTTCTGTCTGGACTGTGGGCGGGACGTAGATGGGCAACTCACACTCTTGGATATACCGTATTGACGAGAAGTGTTGCGGCCGTGGATGGCGCAGTTCTCGTTGTATATGAGAGTTTGGTTGCCAGACTTCTTCATCATTAACTTGTGAGCGGCCTCGTTGTAGTACACCTGGTGAGTCACTGGCGGCACTGTGCTGTGTTGACTTTTCCAAGTCTCGTCACTGTACATTTGAGGACGAGGTGGCAGAAGGGGAGCGGCGTCCCCGTGAAGCTTCTGAAAGAACGAAGGCCTCTCTTGACTCTTGGCTGACTGGCTTCGTTGACCTCGACGGGTCTTTTCTTGCTTCTTTTTGCTCTCCGTGACTCCGCCGATGACCGAGGGCAGGATGCTGGTCTTGGTACTTCGGTGTTTAGTGACCTGACCGAGGGCCTCAGAGTTCTGTTGGCTGGCTGCCCGGAACTTCGCCACCGGACATCGTTGGGCGTGCATCTTTACAGCTCTCACAGAACCTTAACTCTGAAAGGAAAAATTATGGTCACTTTAACAACCAGTGAAAGAATTTAGAGTAATAAGTAATTAGAACGTTATTAGTTGTACTGTGTGTGGTGTTTCTTTTTGCTCATATAATAAAATTAATATAATTATCTTAGACAGATGACGAATTACTGGGTCATGTGGCCGGTGTATTGAGGTATCGTACACTGACTCTCTGAGAAATAGAAGTGTCGGATAGACGTGACTGACTGCTTCTGCCTCTTCATAGATTCAGATCAACAGAGGAGTGTCTTTGCGTGTCCAGTAAGAGACCAGCCTTTTAAGAATCGTTAGTATACTTATGGTCAGGGAACCTACGAGATTCAGCTCCCGTGATCGTGAAATATGATGATAAATTATAACAACTTCAGAATCTAATATTGTAAACCGCTCAGTTCTATAATTAATATATCTATATCATGGATAATTTATATAATTTCATATGAATATTATCACAAGTCTTATTAACAAGAGTATATTTAATGCACCATGAAAATTACAAGAATCTAAGACGGCACAGGATTATTACAGAATTGACTTCAGTCCACAGAATATTTTCCTAAATGCAGCACTAGTTGTTTTTTATAAAACATTTCTAACAATTATATATGAATCTGCAGGAGTTTTAAAGAGCCCAAAACAGCGTTAGATATTTGTGTGAGACAATGAAGTTTTGGTGAGACATATATAACCCATGCACAAGATTTTGTACGAGACGAGAGACATTTCTAGTGAGACATAAGACACGTGAGAGAAAAATGCGAGTCAATAGGAAGGATGACGTCAGCACATCAGCACATGGCACCCTGACCTGAAGTGCTGACCTCAGGTACTTCACAGCTCACTACTCTCGTTTTCTAAATATAACTGCTGGTTCCTAACACACAGACGACCAGTGTATACCAGGTGTTACCACAGGTAATATTAAATGAAACAGAAATTAACTTTGTTTTGTCTTGTTGATTATTAGTGAAGTGTCTATGTGTCTATAGAGTCTTCATCAATTGCATTTATAAATTTATTGTGTACATGGTATCACATCAGTTACACTTTGGTTACACTTCTGGTGTTATTCGAGCAAAAGTTTAATTCTGTGTAATGAGATTTTATTTTTAGACATGTACTAGACCTCCTTTAAGTCTCAAAATGTACAGCTAGGTACATGTTCACAGCTTGATCGAGTAGAGGTTCCTTGAGATCTACCCAGCGACCCTTAGGATAAGAGGCGAGTGCTGTATGTACTCGGCCACCGCACCCGTCACTTAGCAATACTCGACCCTAAACAATCTTTACTCTGGTTGATAAATCATAGACTATGTAAATCCCTTCGTTAAGTCTCACAGTTTAATAGTAACATTCCGATGAAAAATCTCAGGCATTTGCTCTTAACATTCAGTAAACATATTCCACAACATTACATATAAAACCTATAAACACACATATAAGGGACATATATATTATTGTTAGAAGGCAAAATGAATCTATTCGATGATCTTTACTCAAATATAAGAACAGGTCGTTATTTCGGGTTTGTGAAGGTATATTACGATGCCGCTATCTTATGAAAAGTACTCCACTTCCCTGTTGTTTCTAAATAAATAATTTAAATTTAATATTTGAATTCATATTTTCTTCACTCGAATAAGGAAATATATACACGTATTTACATTTTCCCTCCACACATATCTCTTCAGTATTTTTCTGCATGTACCGTGAAAGCTTGGAAACCGATTGAATATTGGTTTCTTGCGCACGGAAATTGAAGTCCGATACACATGTTCTAATATGCGTCAGGGATAACATACATTGGTCTAAAAATACTGAATTCACTAGTGAGAATCAATGTTTTCTATGATATCTAACACGAAAATAAATACTGAAAATAATATACAGTAGAAATACGTTAAATACAGTTCTAGTAAGAATACATTTCAGGATATTATATGAAGTCTCCACGAATTGTTTTCTGACAGAAGATGTAGACTTCAGTGCCACGGAATGAAAATATTGAGATAAAAAAATAAAGTCAAATTTAATATATTTCTACAACCTGACAGTCGCAGTGACGTAAGAAGAGTTTACAACATAACTTCAAAGAAAGATATTGAGAACTCTTAATTAAGTTCACAGGTGAATGGTCTTCAAAAAACTTGCTGAAGGTCTGGGAAGCAATTATTTCCATATAAAAGATTCACAGACGACTAGTAAAGCACCATAATTAAGGTAACTCAGACACACGGCACAAGGAGACACAGACACACACACATATAAAGAGTACACGAGCGGTGATCTGAGGAGCCCCTGTAGATGTGTTCGCTACCAGACGTGTCCAGATATTCCCTCCTGCCACAGTGTGTTACAGACTATATTGAAGGACGTCCCCCTCTTACGTGCCACGCCTCTTGTATCAAGACCCTCCTCTTCCTCCCCCGCCTCCCACTCCTTTTATTGAACACCACCCCTTCCGTCAAGTGTCGAACCCCCTCCCCCCTCTCCTCCCCCTCCACCTCCAAGTGAAGAATAACCGTGTACCTTAAATACTGAACACACATCCTCCTTTCCTCTTCCCTTCTATTTCCTTTCCTCCATAGAAAGAGGACCTTTTCCTCCCTCAACCCAAAATGAAAATTATCCCTTTAATTCCTCCCTCTCTTAAGGCGCCTCCCTCCCTCTCAAGCCTCCTCTCTCAGTGAAAAGCGCTTCTTCCCTGCTTCCTTCCTTCCACCCCAAGGAAAAATCGCCCCTCTATCCCCCATGTGGATACTCCCTCCCAACCTCCCTCCCTACCTTTTCTCCCTTCTCCCCTCTTAATCCCTTCCCGTCATTTCCCCCCTTTCTCCTTCCCTCCTTCTAATCCTCAAACGAAGTCCACCCATCCCTCGCAACTTATCCCCTTCCCTTTGTTTCCCGTATCCCTACCCTCGTTTGTTTACTCCTTCCCTCGCACCCCCCCCCTTTCTTTCCTCCCCGATCTCTCCTTCAGGTCATTTCGGCCCCCCATCTACCCACTATCATAAATGCCACGCCCACCTATCGGACTGTGCCAAACCTGAAGATGCAGGCCAGATGAGAGCCCCATCCAGCACCAAGTGACACACGGTTTGTTTTTCCTTCTCTCTATCTGGTATGTGTGCGTGCGTGCATATATGTGTGTGTGTGTGTGTGTGTGTGAGTGTGTGTGTGTGTGTGTGTGTGATGCGTCATTTTTCTAGTGCTCTGAGTCAATACGAAGGAAGATGGTGCGTCATAGGTGAGTCAGTGTGGAGGATTTTTTTTTTTTTTGCGGCTTACAGCGGCTACTTTATTGTGCACCCCACACTCATCCTGTGAGAGGTAGCGCAAAAGGATTACAGAGTAGAGTTTACAACAGGTTATAATAATTAACCCCCGTTGTCACGATATTATGGCACTGAATGTTACACAGTATTTCAATTACATTATTTGTTTAGTTCTATACATAAAGTACAGGCGTGTGAGGCAGTATGTCTGGCCGCACACTTTGGTATTCACATTTGCGTGAGAAGTATTCAAGCACATTGTGTATTTGGTTCTATACATGAGAACTGATATAGTTACTAAGTGCAAAAAAGTGGATACAATCTTAATATGTCAGCTATCTTGCCATTAGAGATGAGGTGTTTCGTGCCATTTCACACACAGTGTGCTTGGACCTGTACCTAAAAGGTTCTATTTTCACACAGGCGAGGACGTAGTGTTCAAGTGTGTGGCTATATGTCTGGCCACGCACTTTACATTTAGTCTTGTTTACATCTGCTTGAGGAACATACTGCCAGAGGTACTTATATCCTAACCTTAATCTAGCGGTTACAACATCGTGTGATCTTTTTACTTGCTCCATATACACGTTTCACTTGATACATCTCATCATAGTAAACTATGGACCGACGAGTGCCTGTTTGCACTTGTCTACTTGCGTCAAATTCATCAATAAGTTCTTTCCTAATTACAGTTTTAAGGGTTCTTTTTGACAGACCCAAATTGTATTCAACGGTGTCTTTGTTAGACGCGAATTTGGCGAGGGCATCAACTCTGTCAAGTTTTATGGAGGAGGGTGCGTCGTAAGTGCGTCTTGACTTAAAAAGTAAGAAGGAAGAAAAAGATAAAGATATGAGAGAGAGAGAGAGAGAGAGAGAGAGAGAGAGAGAGAGAGAGAGAGAGAGAGAGAGAGAGAGAGAGTGTCGTGAACTAAAAGCTGCTAGCAAGACATTCTGGTAGGAAGCGCCTGCTAGCCCTCACCCACGTCACTAAGGTCCTCCTACGTAAGCCCCACCCCGTGTATGCTTCTAAACATCTCACTCTGTTGACACACATACACAAATTACCTCCACGCTGACGATTTCCCTTGATGGGCTTTTCTGAGTCCATGTTAATAGGTTCTTTGCTTGCCGCTGCCAGCGTCAGTATGCGTTCTTAGTGAGGTGGGGAAACGAGCCGGGTAATACGAGCACGGCAAACCTTCATAAATATTCATGTAGAAAAGTGTGTTAAGAGTATTAAGGACAGGGAGAAGCTCGACAAGGTGGGGAATTTCCCTAAAGGAAATATAATTGTCTTTTCATGACGCACGGCAACTGCTGTATGGTGTTTGGAAGTACTGTATATTTTGTTTCTTCATTTATATACAGGTATATGTAATTATGTTTTGTTATTATAATCATCCTTATTATTGTTATTGGTATATTATTATTATTATTATTATTATTATTATTATTATTAGTAGTAGTAGTAGTAGTAGTAGTAGTAGTAGTAGTAATAATAGTAGTAGAAGAAGTAGTAGGCAAATGGTTTCAGTCTCAATAAACAAGAATTTACAAGATGCCAATGCTCTAAGGCACGGTAGGCCAGTAGAAGGTTTGCCCTCCCAATGCGTGTGTGGCTCTTCCTATGACGGCGATCACGCCATGGTGTGCAAGAAAGGGGGCTTCATATGCATGAGGCATGACGAAGTAAGGGATCTCACAGCAAATATGTTGAAGGAAATCTGCCGTGATGTCAGGGTAGAACCGACTCCCCTTCCATTGGAGGGTCAGAATTTGCAACATAGGACTTCAAACACATCCAACGAAGCCCGTAAAGGACGTCAGCAAAGCTCGAGGATTCAGACGGGACAGTGCTGAGCCCTTCGACATCAGACTTTATCCCATGGCCGCATGTCACTGTAACTTAGTTTCCCGATGCTGCAACACAGAGGAACGAGAACGACAAGATATGTATATGAGAGAATCACAGAACGCCAGTCAAGGCAGCTTCACTTTCTAGTGTTCACAACCTCTGGTGATGCATCCGCGCAAGATGTGCTTCACGCCAGACCAGGAGGTAAAAGTATCCGAACAGAAACAGCAGCCCAGAAGTTATGTTACAGCCTGGATGAGATGACGACAGTCCTTCTCTCTCCTTAGGCGGCTTTGCTCTGCCTCAGGGGAACGAGAGCATCGGCCCCAAAGCCGACAACAGTTGCAGATATTGACTATGAGGCAACAGTCAGTGAATGCCGCATAGATTTCTGGCTCAACTAACTCAACACAGCTAGGATAGTTACTTATGTATTAGGATATTTAATTTTAAGGTTATAAAATGGCGGCGAAGGTGTGGCTATAGGGGGAGGATGGAGGCCATTTAAAAAAAGTAGAAGTAGTAGTAGTAGTAGTAGAAGTAGTAGTAGTAGTAGAAGTAGTAGTAGTAGTAGTAGTAGTATTGTTGTTATTGTTGTTGTTATGATGATGATGATGAGGATGATGCTGATGATAACGATGATGATGATGTTTATGATAATGATGACAGGCTTTAAGTGTGTTATTAGTACAGTACCTCATTGATCCCTGTATCAGCTGATCTCAATGAAGCAAAAGACTAGTTCTCTCTCTGTAGTTGTGGACATATGGGTCGTCTAGTGGGAAAATTTTCATTCCACACGAAAATGCGACAAGAGCTTTGAAATCGAAACGTACCCAACGGATGTTTTCCCGAGTTCTCTTCATGCGGAGATCAAAGTCTGCGTTACCCTCAACACGGGAGGACAGCGACAAGGGAGGCACTTCCGGAGGCTTGTCCCGATGATGGATGATTATGTCTCCCCTGGTGCATAAACTCACCCCATTCCTCGGTAGAAAAGGAAACACAGCTACTCCTCCAACTTCGAGTATCACTTCAGCTACTTACTCCTGATCACTGCATTTCAAACCCTGCAAAGCGTTTCTCGCTATGGCGCCGTGCACGTGCTGGGTGAGAGTAACTGTCTTCCCTGTGTCAGTCAAGTCTTATGAAGACCACTTGAGCCTGATGTTGTCTCATGCATATGTTTACTCCCTGGAAGGTTGTCAAAGGTTTTCCCTGAACTATTATGTCGCTACACAAACACTAAGAGGTTGATCGTCACTCTATCTGGCCAACCGTAGTGATCATTATCATGTAATTTCAGCCAAATGAATACAAAACAATAATACTACGACTAATGTAACGTCTTTTGGTTATAATTACACTAACAAACTATCCAGGATAACTCAGTATCCAGTGTGACTTACAGTATATTCCTAATAAACTCAACCATAAATACGAGTTGTAGCCTCGATAACTCATATATAAATACGTGTTATATTTTGGGTAACTTAAACATAAATACGTGTTATATTTCTAATAACTCAAGAATAAATACGTGTTATATTTTAGGTAACTACATATAATTCTTTTATTACAGGTAAATCAAGCATATTTACGTGTTATATCTTAGGTACTTTAAATTCATGTTATATTTTTAATAACTCAAACATGAATTCGTGTTATATAATAGGTATCTCAAATATAAAGGCGTGTTGTGTCAGAGGAATATTTCACTGTTTCAGTTAATTGGGTTCTTATAGTTCACTTTATCTGTAGGATCCACAAAGGTAACATGTAGTTAGTAAGTATTACAGTTCACTAAAGCTGTCAGCGTCATGATTAGGGTGATAATTACTGAGAGCAAGAAGGGCAGGAGCTGAATAAGTTGATTTGTCACAAAGGTCAAGTCAATCATGGCGACAGAGGAAGACTGAAACTGTGTGGGAGGTAGGAGGGCGGGGGAGGGGGGGGGGGCGTTAGTGGGGTGAGGTAGTCGACTCATACGTATTTATGTTTGCGTATGTATAAGCATACACAAAAATATACATGCATATACATGGTGTCCATTACGTTACTCAACCCTTTAATAGATTCTTACCATATATATATATATATATATATATATATATATATATATATATATATATATAAATATATATATATATATCATGTAGATCCACAATGAAAACGTGGATAAGATAAATCTTGATGAAATCACACAGGGCAAAGGGAA